GTGGGAAGAGCAAAAGGCGGATCTGCAGGGGTCCTCAAGAATTAATTCTCCAAAAACAGGTTTCCAAAGAACAGGTCCTCATGGATCCTTACCATTTTTGCTTTGGGTCTGTGACGACCCCTTATCTGGGGAGGTCTAGTTTTCACTTTAAAATGTTCTTTATGTGTTTCTCTCAGGGTGATCTCGCCGCCACCAGGGAAATCTAGGTTTTCCCAAACTTTTCCTTTTCTTCTGGGGTTGGTATTGTAGCACGGGTCTAGGCCTTTGGAGGGACTATGTGTTGTTTCCTGAGGAATTTCGTTCAGAACTTGTATTTTAAATAAAAGTATATTTATTAGATGTTCACACCCTCTTCCCTCTTACTGACAGGGATAAGGGCAAGTCACTTTGTAACAATATTTCACTGTACTTTTCTCCAGCTCTCAGCTTTCAAGTGTAACTCTTATATCACAGAACTTAACCGTCTGCTTAACACAGAGACTTCAGGACAAAACTCATATATTAACTGCTTTTAACACAGCACACTCTGCTCTCTGACTGTTTCAACACAGAACTCTCCAACCCACACAGGGAAGCTTCTTCTTATAACTCAGAGACAGAAACTTAACAACTGTTTTCACACCGCCCTCTCTTCTGACTAACTGTTTAACTCCACAGTCATCTCACTGTCTTTCTCAACTGTCATCATAAACTGTCTCCACTCTAACAGTCACTCCTGATAGACACTCAAATCATCCACACAGCATCCATTCCAAACCCCCTCCCCCTCTCTGTCACTCACCAATCACACCACTCGCCTATTTCAGCATTCTAGATTGTCATCACACAGCAATATAAACCAAACTTTTAAAGACACACACACACACATAAACATGAAATCGTTACAGGGTCCCTGCAACATCGCCATCAAAATCAGGTATCTTGTCTTTAGACACAGAATGCACCACAGAAATCACATGGCCACGGAGTCCTGGTGCCACTATGCTGCAAAAACATGGTTCTGGAGCATAGATCCTCATGGAAGGAATGCCTCTGGGTTTTGTGTTGGGACTCCCCCGGAACATACTATTAAATCCCATGTCACGTCTGTGGCCACTACTTGCACCGCAGAATTCCTGCATCCACAGTTTCAAGGCAACACCATACTGCAGAGACATGGTTCCAAAGCATGGGTCCTCAGTGTTTTTGTCTTGGGTCACCATGAACTCACCATCGAATAACATATCGTGTCCATGGCCACAGCTTGCACCACAAAAGTCATAGACCCACGTGGCCACAGCTTGCACAGGAGACGGGTGACTTAACTTCCAGAAGCTATGGGGGGAAGGGAGGATGCGGAGGCAGTTCAGGGATGTCGGGAGTGTGGAGGAGCAGCAGGGGAGGCGCCGCATGCTGACGGGAGTCCCAAGGGGGCGCCTCACAATCCCCATGATTGCCACCTTGGCTACTTGGCAGCAGGTAACCCAGCAGGTCTGCGGATGGAAGGGTGCAGAGTCCGGTGGTGGGGCAGGATCCATTCCTTGGTCTCTTTTCCATTCCAGCCCTTACCCCTCTCCCTCGATGCTTTTTACAGATGTGGGGACCATCCCTGAAGACTGAAGCTACAATCCCTGAGGCGGAAGGAGCCTCCTTGGAGCAAGGGCAGGGAGCGCTGGCCATGGAGCGTCCCCAAGATCCCCTCTCCTGTGGTAAGGGCCCCTTGTGCCTGCATGACTGTTGGGGCACCCCGGGAGAAAAATAAACACAACAAAGAGTTAATGTGCAGCACTCGGTGTCCACTAACACTGATGTCTCCAAAAGGAGATCAGATAAAATTCCTGGAGAGCGATTTCTCCCATTAATTAAAAAGTTCAACTCACCTTCCTTCCATAAAAATAAATCAAGTTTTCAGGGTGACGGGGGGGGACTGCCGGCCTCTCAAACCTTCGCACAACTATCTAGTCTCCTGAACGGAGGGAGCCTCCACCTTCTGGGGCAGCAGAGCGCTGAAAACCAGTTCCTCGGGGCCAATAATATTGGGCAAATTTGGCTTCTGTGCCTGTGCTTCAAGGGGCCTCGGGCAGGCCACTGTGGGAAATAAGGATGCTGGGGGGGACGGATGGCAGGCTGTGGCTTGGGACCCCCAGGAGCTTTGGGGAGGGGCTTGGGACAGATGTGATGCCATCTTGAGGTTGAGTTGGGCTGAAAACCTCGTTGGGAAGTGAGCCTGCCAAGAGACACTCATTCATATTTCCCTTGAGTCTCCAGATGCGCTCAAGTCACGTCTGGCCTGAATGTGACTGTGACGTGTCACGCAACAGAAGTCTGAAATATGTTGGTCACATTGATAGTCCCTGAGGCTCATGGGTACATATGCTTTTCTTCTGCCTCTCTCAGAATCCAGTAAAAAGTGTTTAGAAATGTGTCGAGTGTACACAGGGAAGGGGTTGTGTGCAGCAGGAAACCAACCAGCAAACACCCTTTCTACCTCCTTTGTCTCAGGAACAGGCACTGAAGAGATGCTATTGAGCCGACATCTTTTCAGAGGTGTGGAAACGGCTGCCGTACCTCCTGTCCAGGTAGGAGAGGTGAGTCTTACGGGATTCTGGGACCCCTGGACTGTTTCCCTGGGACCCTCCCATTCTCCTTTAGTTCTCTTATTGGTTGGGTGGAGACTGGCAAAGGAGTGACTGAATCAATAGAGAGAGACCATACTTCTCAAACAAAACCAGCTTATTGACAATAGTGTTCTTAAGGGCAGAAAACACTTTAGCACTTACAGATCTTTTAAGATGAAAACATAACTTTCTGACATTCAGCATAGAATACTTCAACACAAACCTAGTGCACTCGTGTGAAAGACGGAGCACCCCGGTCTAGTCAACAACAAGAGCTCACAGAGACCTGATTGAAGACCAGCCCAGAGCAACGAAGTCTTCTCCAATGTATACCCAGTACCCAAAGTTCAGCCCACATGGATGGCGTGAGGTTCACTTTTAGCAGAAGAATATCAAAATAAAAAGAATAATATTCACCTTGAACTCATGTCCTAGTGATCCTAGACAGTCAAGAATGTTGCTTGTAAATTTTATTCTGACCTTACTGGAAGCACAGATGCCAGCTTCAGAAAGTATGTTGCTCATCAGAAGCTACAAAGCTTCTCACCCACCTCTGTCTGATGTTGGGCGGCCAGTCAGACTCCAGTCCAGAAGACCTCTACCGGGCGTGGCAAGCCGTGGCTGTTTGGCTCAGGCTGAGTCGGCTGAAACTAAACCCGGCAAAGACAGAGGTCCTGGGCCTGAGTTGGGTCGGTCCGTGGCTGGGGCCTACCTTGGGTGCCAGCATCGGAGGCTAGAAGTTTGGGAGTGCTCCTGGACTCCTGTGGGGTCCTGGAGACCCTGGTGGCAGCCACTGCCAAGTTGGCCTTTTACCATCTTCGGCTGGCTCGGCAGTTCGTCCCCTTCCTTGACCGCAATGACCTGGCCACAGTGATCCATGCGAAGGACACCTCGAGGCTAGACTACTGTAACGCTCTCTACATGGGGCTGCCTTTGTCGCAAATCCGGATGCTGCTGCTAATGCAGAATGCTGCGGCCAGGCTGCTGGTGGGTCTCACTATGCGGGACCATATCAGGCCTGTCCTGAAAGCGTTGCACTGGGTGCCAATAGCATACCGGGTTCGCTTCATGGTTCTTATCTTTAAAGCCTATATGGCCAGGGTCCGGCATACCTGAGGGACCACCTTTCCCCATATGTTCCCCCAAGGGCACTACGGTCAGGGACTCAACATCGACTGGTAACCCCAGGTCCCAAAGATATTAAATTTGCTGTTACCAGGGCCAGGGTATTTTCGGTAGCGGCTCCTACCTGATGGAATGAGCTCCCGGAGGAGATCCCGGCCCTGCGGGACCTGGCGCACTTCCACAGGGCTCTTCCGCCAGGCTTTTGAGTAGGAGCCGCCACCATCACTATACCATCACCGTACCCAGGGCCGGCCCGCGAGCTAGTCTCTTGCCTAGAGCGCGGGGCCATCATGGGGGCACCGGTCTGAGCCACCCGAGGGCCCTGTTGCCGCTGCCTGGCCAACTGCCTGCCGGAGCCGCCCGCACCACCCCGGTGTGAACGGCCAGGTGCCCGGAGATGAGGGAGGCGCTCTGCAGTCTGCCCCCTGCCCCACTAAAAGCTTGGCTCCGAGGGCCCTGCCGGCTGCTGGCTACCACAGAGGAGCAGCCTCTGGGGAATGGCCGGCGCCGAACAGAGAGCTCTTTCTCTCCCGACCGCCTGCTCGGCGGCTTGGTCGAGCTGGCAGCCCCGGACATCCCTCCATTCGTGCCGGTGGAGTCCTTGCGCAGAGCTGGGCGAGTGGGGCTGGAATGCCGCGAAGGCGTTTGTGGCCGGATTTCCTCCCTGGCTCCCTGAGCGCCTCCCGTCCCTCGCGTGCGCACTGCAGCGCCAGGTGTGGGCCCGGCTGCTCTCGGGGGGCTTGGAATGCTTGGGAGACGCCTCGGCACAAAATGTCAGGGTTTCCTTGGGTCAGGTCGCTCCCGGCAAGGCGCAGGGGCTTTTTGGAGGAGGAAGGAGCGCTGGCGGCGTTGAGCCTTCTGAGGGCTAGTGGGAAGTTTTAGCCGTGGCCAAATCTGGTCCATGGGGTCGCGAAGAGTCGGACTCGACTGTGCGACTGAACAACAACAACAACTGGGGCAGAGTCAGGGGACGGCCTGGAGCGAGTGGCTTGGGCTTGCTTGAGGTGAGCGGCTTATCCGGTGCGGCTTCCAGATTTGTGCTGCCAAAGCTCATGCTTTTTTTGGGGGGGGGAGCAGCTGCATGATCTCGGGGCGGCCCTCTCGGCCAGGAGGGGGGTTGTTCTGGGCACCACGTTTCTGCCGACGGAGGGAGCCGCTTTTGCACCCTGAGTCAAGCGGAGGGTTAAAGGGAGCGAGTTGGCCTGACCAGAGGAGCGGTGGCGAGGGAGACCCCCCTCCTTGTGAAATCACTTCCATCTCTCGTCCTGCCCCGTGGGAATGCCGGCCTTGTCTTTCCCACGCCACCCGCAGCTGCCCCCAACCACGTCCCCGGCGGATAAAGTGAGTTCTGCGGGCTGCTCTTCAACAAAGGGGGAATGGGGGGTGGGGAATGGCGGGAAATCCCCCCCAGCTTTGCAGCAGGAGCCCCTCCCCCCCAGAGAAGGGCCCCCCCTCGCTGCCCTTTGCCCCCCTGCCCTTCCCGGGCGTTTCCCACACGCTTCCCTCCCCAGATCCAGGGGGAGGGAGGAGATGCAAAGGCTGCTTCCGTCTGTGTGTGTGTGTAGGGGGAATCTCTCAGTGTGGTCCTGCCAAGTCTCAAGTGGGGAGAATCCTGGAGGATTTCGGGCTGATGCCATGGAGTTGCCGTTTTATGGGGGGCTGATCTCTGTCCTCTGGAGATCAGCTATAATTCCTGGAGAGGTACAAGCCGCACCTGGAGACTGGGAACCCGCCTTCCTGGGCCCTTATGAATTTGGATCTAATTCTCTTGGAGGCAGGTGAGGCCGTGTGAGAGCCAGGACCAGGACCGCACAGCTGATGAGGATCCTGGGGAGGACGTGAGCACTTCCCCCTGACCTGGGCATGGAACAGTGGCCACTGTGGGGTGTGGTATTTGTGAATGTCCTGCATTGTGCAGGGGGTTGGACTAGATGACCCTGAAGGGACCCTTCCAACTCTGTGATTCTATCATTCTATGAGAGGGCAGGGTCCTTTCCAGGCCTATTAGAGCCAGTTTGGTGTAGCGGTTAAGTGCGCGGACTCTAATGCATGAAATTGGAGTTCTGTTGCTTGTGCTTTTAGCTCTGGGGGGGGGGAGGTGAAGAGCCTTAATTTGGTCTGCATGTGTTTTTTTTTGGGGGGGCGTAACTTTTACCTGAATGGGAATCAACCGCAGCCCCATCCTAAGTCCCTGATGCAGTGCCAGTGTGGGAACGGGGCTGCTAGTGGGTGTCCAAGGAGAGGGGATTTTTTGACTTTAAAAAAATCAGTTGCCGAGGCACAGAGAACCTAGCAACCCCAAAAAACACAGCACAAGGCAACTCCCACAAAAAACAGCCAAACACCCCCCCCCCCCCCCCCCCGTTATATCAGCCTCCCCACATCCAGAAGGCCAGGAGGGACAAAGAGCACCTGGAAACACATCACTGTGAAGACCGTGACCGTGGCCTCAGCATAGTAAGAACATGAGGAGAACTCTGCTGGATTGGAGCATTCCAGCATTCCGTCTCTCTGGAGGGCCAATAGTAAGGCAGAGAGGCCTTCTCTCTTGATGTTGCCTCCTTGCTCTGGGATTCAGAGCCTCTGAACGTGGAGTTTCCCCTCTGTCACCATGGCTGGTAAGCTAGACTTACCCTCCATGAGTCTATCTAGTCCCCTTTGAAAGCTGTTTATTCCTGTGGCCAGGACTACATCCTCTGGCAGCAAACTCCACATTTTAAAGGCTCTATGTGTACAGAAGTATTTCTTTTTGTCTCTCCTGAATCTACTACCCATCAGCTTCATTGGAGGACACCCCATAATTGGGGGGGGCGGGGGGGGGGGGTGCCAGAAGGTGGCCTCGCCTAGAGTACAAAAAACCCTGGAGCCGGCCCTGACCGTACCACCACCACTAAATGGAGTGGGTGTCATCGGGGAACGAGACGGCCCTAAGAGGAAGGCTGTACCACCTGGAGTCTACTGTGTCGCTCTGGGACCACTTTGTCATGTGTGACCCCATCAGTTATTTGTGACATCTAGAGCACTTGTAATTTTTATATGAACGATTGTTTTATTGCTTGTTTTGTCCTGTTTTTACCTGTTTGCCACATATGTGCCTCATTTGTTAGCCGCCCAGGGCAGGGTATAAATTTAATAATAAATAAATAAATAATAGGACTATTTGACACAGTATGAGGGTGAAATGGTAGACCTAGAGAAATGAAAACTATTCTTTTTGGAACAGAGTGCCTTGTCAGGCTAGAGAGAGGCTTGAGAGATGACAGTAGCTAAGCCTGGAAAGTATTATGGGAGAGGAACCCAGCAGAGAGGCCTCCGCTAATCCAAGGTATTATACAGAAATGCCCCAGGCTCGCTGATCTTTCTGCCAACAATGAGATGAGTAGGGGGGACAGCCCGTGTCCCTCTTCTTTTCTCGGGGGAGCACTTGCTTCTGCCGTTTCTACATGGTGTCCGGGCGAGACATCCTCTGAACGCTGTTCCCTTCACCCAGTCCAAGCCAGGCATCCTGTACCTTCCCAGTCTACTCCCTTCCAGGGTGCCGTCTCTGCCTGGCGTGCTCTCTGATGAGGGAATCTGCTTTTGCTTTCAGGGTCCCTTTTCCTTTGAGGAGGTGTCCATCGATTTCACGGAGGCAGAATGGGCCCTGCTGGATCCGGGACAAAGAACTCTGTACAGGGAAGTCATGCTGGAGAACTACGAGAATGTGGCCTTTCTGGGTAAGGATCTTCCCTTGCTGCCAAAGGTGCGAATTGCTGCCATTGTGAGGAGGAATGAATCAAAGTATTGAGTAGCTATTCACAGGGGAGGCTGTGGCTCCCTGGCAGAGCATCTGCTTGGCATGTAGAAGGTCCCCGGTTCAATCCCCAGCATTTCCAGTAAAAAGGATCAGGTAGGAAGTGATGTGAAAGACGTCTCCCTCAGATCCCAGTGAGCGGCTGCCAGATTGAGAAGGCTACACTGACTTCAATGGGTGAAGGGTCAGATTCAGTAGGAGGCAGGTTCATGTGTTCCTGGGTGTGTTCTTGCCCAGGGGCAACAGAGGCCAGTGTTGTGGCCATCACCCAAGCCAGAGAAGGTGTCCTGGCCTGAGGCAAAGGGAGGGATGAGAGGCCCTCAGGAAGACTCTGGAAGGGGCCGGATCCTCATTTCTCTGTTACCAGCCTTTACGACACCCCCTTCCTCCTGAATGGGATTCCAGACATCCGCTCTGCCTGTGATCTGGAAACGATCCTGCCAGGAACCAATGCCTGGGTCCCCCTGGGTCACTACTCTTTGTACCGGAGCAGCACCTAGTCCAGTGGGTTCAGGAGAAGAGAGCTCACAAGGAAAGCAGACCCCCCTTTTAAATATGTAAAGGTTTTTTTAAGGATTTAAAATCACAACATCACTGAACAGCAAAGTTTCTGCAGCCCAGCAACAGAAAAACAAGGAAAGCGAACGGTTGTATCTAATACATACAATACGTGGTAATAGATGGGACTTCTTTTGCAGCAGTATAAGTATTCCAACTGTAGCCTAAGTTACTTTACAGAAAACTATTCATCATGATGCAGCAAGAAATTCTCAAGACATACCTGCATGTCACGAACATAAACTTATCCTGGCCTCCCTCTTGTCTATACGTGTATTATACATTCTACCTCTTAGGGTCAGGTGGTCCTAATGACCCAATTGCCTTATACTAGGATGGAATTGTCCAGAGGCAATTCCCTCCTAATTCCCCCTCCCTCCTGGTACACAACTGGATACAAGTTTTCAGGGTTAACCAATTACTATTAACCAATGGCTGCATTCTTGAGTCCATCCCTGAACAGGATAAGGATGTTAGCTGTAGGAAGACTTAAGTCACAAATACCTGTAACTCAGAGTAGGCTACTTAATACTCACGTAAACCCTAACGGGAACTAGGATGCTCTGCCTCACAGATCTATTCCACTTAAAATGGTTGGGATTGTGGGCTTTCATCTTGAACATAGTTTCATCCTTCCTGAAGAATTTTTACTCTTGAATTTCTTTCCTTCCCTATATAAGAATGATCACTTTCTCTCTCTGTCTCTCTGCAAACAAAGGCAGGCATATGAGAGAGACTATGGTGGAGATAGACAACGGCCTTGCATCTGAAGAAAGGCTGACAATTTCCTCAAGAGGATCGCAAGAACATATTTCCTTCCCAAATGAGCGGGCTGACAGTGAGTATCCTTCACGGTTATGTCAAGGGAAAAGGCAAGGAAGTGCCATGGGGGATTTCTGATTCACTTCTGTGCAATGTTTCGTACAATCATACAGCCTGCTGGGGAAGGAGGGAGGGCCTGAAATCTGGAGGCTCAGAAGCTCCTTGTGGGCAAGAGCTCAGCTGTGGCACTTGAAGGGGTGAGGAATCCTTAAAGACTATATACTCGGGAAAGGTGGAGGGGTCGTTAAGATCACCCAAGGTGGACGACGCCAAAGGGACGTATATCCTTTTCCATTGTAGTCACATAGATGCCTTTGGACCTTCCCAACCCAAATAGGTGCTAACAGGATCTCTCTATTTCATCCTGCAGAAGATGATCAGAGGAATGAAGTGGGTGAGGAATTTCATCAGCAAATGGCAGTTAAAGATGAAAATGAAGACTTGAAAGAAAATGTTAGCAATCGAGGTGGAACGAGGAGAAAGAAATGTGGTGATACGATTGAGAAGAGAGATGGAAGGAGTGGCATTCTTCAGAAGCACCAAAGATCCCACACCGGGGAGAAACCTTTTGAATGCACAGAGTGTGGGAAAAGATTCAGTAGGAGTGGCATTCTTCAACAGCACCAGAGAACCCACACAGGGGAGAAACCTTTTGAATGCTCAGAGTGCAGAAAGACATTCCGTGACAGTGGTACTCTTCGGAAGCACCAAAGAACCCACACAGGGGAGAAACCTTTTGAATGCACAGAGTGTGGAAAGAGATTCAGTTGGAGTGGCACTCTGCAGCAGCACCAGAGAACCCACATCGGGGAGAAACCATTTGAATGCACAGAGTGTGGAAAGAGATTCAGTTGGAGTGGCCATCTTCTACAGCATCGGAGAACCCACACAGGGGAAAAACCTTTTGAATGCTCAGAGTGTGGAAAGAGATTCAGTCTGAATGGAAATCTTCAAGAGCATCAGAGAACCCACACAGGGGAGAAACCGTTTGAATGCTCAGAGTGTGGAAAGAGATTCAGTCACAGTAGCACTCTTCAACACCATCAAACAACCCACACAGGGGAGAAACCTTTTGAATGCTCAGAGTGCAGAAAGAGATTCTGTGACAGTGGTACTCTTCGGAAGCACCAAAGAACCCACACAAGGGAGAAACCTTTTGAATGCACAGAGTGTGGAAAGAGATTCAGTCAAAGTAGCACTCTTCAGCGGCATCAAACAACCCACACAGGGGAGAAACCTTTTGAATGCTCAGAGTGCAGAAAGAGATTCCGTGACAGTGGTACTCTTCGGAAGCACCAAAGAACCCACACAGGGGAGAAACCTTTTGAATGCACAGAGTGTGGAAAGAGATTCAGTCGGAGTGGCACTCTGCAGCAGCACCAGAGAACCCACACAGGGGTGAAACCTTTTGAATGCTCAGAGTGTGGTAAGAGATTCATTCAGAGCAGCAATCTTCAGGAGCACCAGAGAACCCACACAGGGGAGAAACCTTTTGAATGCTCAGAGTGTGGAAAGAGATTCAGTAGGAGTGACATTCTTCAACAGCATCACATAGCCCACACAGGGGAGAAACCTTTTGAATGCTTAGAGTGTGGTAAGGGATTCAGTAGGAGTGGCACTCTTCAACTGCACAAAAGAACCCACACGGGAGACAAACCTTTTGAATGCTCCGAGTGTGGAAAGAGATTCAGTCAGAGTAGTAATCTTCAGAAGCACCAAAGAACCCACACAGGGGAGAAGCCTTTTGAATGCTCAGAGTGTGGAAAGAGATTCAGTAGGAGTGACATTCTTCAACAGCATCACATAGCCCACACAGGGGAGAAACCTTTTGAATGCTTAGAGTGTGGTAAGGGATTCAGTAGGAGTGGCACTCTTCAACTGCACAAAAGAACCCACACGGGAGACAAACCTTTTGAATGCTCCGAGTGTGGAAAGAGATTCAGTCAGAGTAGTAATCTTCAGAAGCACCAAAGAACCCACACAGGGGAGAAGCCTTTTGAATGCTCAGAGTGTGGAAAGAGATTCAGTCAGAGTGGCAGTCTTCAGAAGCACTAAAGATCCCACACAGGGAGAAGCCTTTTGAATGCTCAGAGTGTGGAAAAACCACTATTGAAGGGGGCAGAACAATCCACAACTAATTCATCATAATTCATCATTATCAGTGAGGCTGATAAAATGGAACACAGGCTATGGCAAATAAAATGCAAGTCTGTGGTCAGGCAGGCAAAAAGGGAATATGAGGAGCATATAGCAAAAAACATAAAGACCAACAATAAATCTTTCTTCAAATACATTAGAAGCAGGAAACCAGCCAGGGAGGCAGTGGGGCCCTTGGATGACCAAGGGGTAAAAGGAGTACTGAAGGATGATAGGGAAATGGCTGAGAAGCTAAATGCATTTTTTGCCTCTGTCTTCACTGTGGAAGATGAGAAGTGCTTGCCCACTCCAGAACTGCTGATTTCGGGAGGGGTGTTGAAAGACCTGAGTCAGATTGAGGTGACGAGAGAGGAGGTCCTAAAACTGAAAACTGATAAATCACCAGGTTCTAATCTGATGGCATACATCCGAGAGTTCTGAAAGAACTCAAATGTGAACTTGTGGATCTCCTGACAGAGATATGTAATCTTTCCTTAACATCTGCCTCCATTCCTG